TCTGTCCACCTCCATCGAAGAACAAGGTACAAAACTTCCCCGATAGCCAATAATTCCACCAAATACGAGTCCACAATGGAAGGAAAGCAGCGGCCAAACACAAAGAGTGGTGTTGTGGCATCGAAGGCAACAATACCAATAGCATCATGGAAAGCGGACTGTGTTGCGCTATCCACTTCAATGCGAAGTCCAGAGAAAGGTCGAGGTGTAACGGGCAAAGAAACAACATGCAAAACTCGAGGGACAGGTGGAACAAGAGGGAAGGTGGGCGTCTGATGGTTAGTGAGATGGGACAATTAATGCATTGGGCTACATTGGACTGGACTTCTTAGAGAAAAAACTATTAATGCTATAATCAGGATATAGATTGGACCATGTGTGGATCACAAGACTAACAATGAACGTCACAATCTTTTCAACAACTCTAGCCCAATCAAAGATGACTATGTTGATGTTAAGTAACCCTTATTCATTAATGAACGTAAGATCGTCCTGTCAGCAAATTAGTTGTGTGAGGCCATTATCAAAGCTTACCACTATGTGGTGTCTCGTATAATTTTGAGCAAATCCAAGAATGTATTCCATTCAATTATCCGAGACCCCATAAATGTGTTTTTTTTTTTATCCAAGATAAGCCCCGAGAGATGGCCGGACAACACAGTTACAAGATAGACAATAAAAAAGAATGGTAGTCTGTGTGCAACCGGACTCCTGATAAAAGAACATGTTTTGCCACGAGGTGGGCAGCTCTGTTGAAGCTCTGAGGAGCAAAGTAACACGAGACTGACAGAAAGGAGGGATGGAGAGAGTGAACTTCCTTTAGGATGGCTCCCACTCTTGAATAAGAAGCCTGCCTCGATGTTGCATCCTTGATGACCAATTGAGAGTCTCCACAAAAAGCAACAGTAAAAAAATTATGGGTGAGACACAATCTCATAGCATCACGAATAGCAAGTGATTCTGATGGATAGGTATCCGTAATGCCATCATAGAATTTACCAATTGCAAATGAAATAATTCCATCACCCGAGAAACCGACAAAGCCAGTTGAACATCCGTGGGATATTTTTGTAGCCCCCATCGAATTGGCATAATACCCCTTCACTAGGGCAAGTTGCGTCTGTTCTACGTGCATGAGAACCATTACCTGGAAGACTGTGATGATGGCTTTGGACTCAAGCGGACTTCTGAACCTTCTATGTCTCTGCCTATGCTGATAGTGTCGTGTATAGAACTTGTAATTTATAAAATGTGTCCATATGTAGCTTTGCACTAGCCTTTCCATATTCTCCAGAATAAAAAGACTGTGTAGGCTACATAATAATTGGAGATATGAGGAGTGAAAAAGAGGTTTCTCCATGCAAGGTCCATAGGATTTGCCGTCATCATATCTCTTATCTGGTCAATGTCTGCAAATGCCCACAGTTCTCTAGTGATTTTACAGTCGAAGAAGCCGTGCTTGATGTCCTCATTTGATTCACAATAAATAGGGCAAAGATTTGATAGAATAATTTGTTTATACTGAAGGATTGCTTTAACTGGTAGGAATCCACACATTAATCTCCAAAGGAAGAATTTGAGGCAAGAGGTATCAAAATATTCCACATGTATTTCCAAATTTGGTGTTCAAGAAGTTCGAAAAAGAGGTAGTGGGTATATTTAATCAAGACGAAAGGAGGTGGTACTCAATTTCACTGTGCCATAAATGAGTTCTTGAATGATAGTATTTTTGGCATCATTGAGTACATCGATCACTATCTGAGTACCATATGATGTTATAGTGGATCCTTTGTATGTCAAAGTTGATAAGGGGTGTTTTGGATGCCTGGAGTAAAGGAACAAGATGTGGGTGATGAGCAATGTAGGGTGGAAAAAACTTAGGTATTGATAAATTTATAGTGGTGGGTAGTGAAGTGCATAGAGTTGTTACTACAGATCCCATTGGAGCGATGGTGCAAAACAAAATAAAAAGTGGAGATACGCAAATACGGCATGACATACTGAGAATTTAGTACTCGAGATATGAAGTATGAAACACGATTGTAGACAACTTAATATATCTGCACAAATGTGTAGACTGCTATAAGCATTAGAATTGTAGCTACTCTCATTTTTTTTTGGTGATAAAGCAAGCACAGAGAAGCGCTCAACCCTTAATTTTGATAACTCGCGGGGTTTGAATCCTGACCAGATCGAAGTACAACCAGTGTCTTAACATAGGGCCAGGGTTATCCACAAAATGGATCCCTACAGGAATAGAGTGTCCAATCGAAGCTAAATAATCTGCAACATAGTTGCCTTCCCTTAACACATGCATAAGACGAACCTCCCATTGCTGATTCAGTTGCGGCTTAATGGAATTCACAAGAGTATGTTGAGGGTGAGAGGAGGGCTCGCCTTGCAACAAGGCTATGGCCGTAACTGAGTCCGCCTCCAAGATTCAACGTGAGTGATGGAGCCGCCTCCAAGATTCACTGTAAATGCTCTTAAGAATCCGCCATCCGCTCCCCGGAGCACTCCTTCCGCTGATGTGCTTCCCTGGTTTAGAATCACCGATCCGTCAGTATTTAAACACATCCACCACGGTGGCGGAGCCTGCCAACCAACCATTCGGGTCTCTCTGTCTGCATGACCCCCTGTAACTCGCCTGGAATTAAGAAGATGTGTCCCGACCTGGTCCACTAGAAAACATGATTTGGATGCCACTTGGGTAGTCGGGATCAACTCCTTCTCGAACACCCAGAGATTTCTGTTCTTCCATAACTGCCAGCAAAAAGTGGCAAAGAGAGATGGATCGAGTACCTTATTATGGCCAGCCAAATAGTGCATAACCCATTTCTTCAAGTCAGGTTCGAAAAACTCTTCATCCGACTCTCTTAATAGCTACTCTCATCTTCTACTAGAACGAGTTCAATTGTTTTTTTTTTTTGGTAGGAAATATAAGTGGTTTTCTTTTGTATTAGTATATTTGTAGTAGTTGTTCCATACCAGTACCTACATCGGTAGAGAATAATTATGTGTGAAAGTATCTTTGAAAACTAATTTTGGCCTATAAAATTTGAACTTTTGAAAATATAATAATTTCATAATAGTACTAAGATGCTTCGTTATTCAATAGAGTTATGGTTTCATTGTGTTTTTGGTCTATTTTCTTGAGTTGATGCTTCGTTATTCAATAGAGTTATGGTTTCATTGTGTTTTTGGTCTATTTTCTTGAGTTGATGGTGTGTTTCATGACATTTTTCACTAGGGGTGTTCAAATGGTTACAGTGATAATTATAAATCCAAATAAGTCTAAATTTTATTAACCATGGAATATAATATCATAACCAAACCATCCAAAATAATACAACAATAAAATTAACCAAACTAAAATTTAATCGGTTTGGTTAATTGGTTAACCAAAATAACCAACATACCATCACATTAGCATTAAGTGAGAAATTTCCGATTAGTGCATCAGTTCGCAATATATATAATGAATAACACGTAACAATCAACACATAATTATAGTTAACTCTTAACATAAATACATGTAATTATACAATTATCTTACCTTTGACTCTTGAGTGGTTATGCAAAATATTAAGTATGTGTATATAAAATATTAGATATATGGCTAATTACTCAACTGATTAATTTGATTTCATCGGTTAGGACTTAAAAGTGTCTGAAACTAAATCAAAACACTTTAACCAAACAAGCTAAATTTTTTTACTAAACCAAACCAATTATCCAAATTATTCAAATACTACCGATTAAAACGGTTACCAAAGTAACCACGGTAACCACTCCATTTGAACACCCCTATTTCTTACCAACTTTCTTGTCTACTTTATGAGTTTTGTGGTGTGGTTTGTCGTGTTTCGCGTTTGATATGAGTTTACTGGTCTATTTCATGATACTTATGATCAACTTTATGAGTTTTCTTATCTATTTCATGAAACTTGTAGTTAGCTTTGACTTTATGGTATGCTTAGTTTTATGGTGTGATTTGTCATCTTTATGAGTTTTGTGGTATGTTTGAGAAAACTTGTGGTCAACTTGATGACGTATCTGATCTACTTTATGAGTTTAGTATTATTGTGATGTGCTTACTACATTTTTTGGTATATTTTATGAGATTTCTAGTCTACTTTATGAGTTTTGTGGTGCGATTTAACGTATTTCCTGGTATGGTCTCATTTTTCTGATCTAATTCATAATACTTGTGGTCAACTTTATGAGTTTTATAGTACGTTTAAGAACAACAAGCATGCCCTTCTTTTCAAATAAACATTAAAATATGCTCAACCCTTTCAACATAGAAGTCATCAAAAGAAAATTTTCTTATTGGATGTGATTAGTGTTAGCACCATGCTAACAAATTATGTGTTAGCACCCTAACCTCAACCTTCGCCAAGTGACTGGATAAATACTCCTCACCTCACTTTTGAAATTTCCCAAACTATGATTTTCATGTAAACTTCAATTCTGTAACCTTAAAAAATAACTTCAATTTGGGTAAACACTAATTAATAGCTAAACCTTTTTTCACATGATTTTTTACTAGCCAAACCTATTGAATTACTAATAATTAGCCAAATATTTTGTAATGCATTAAAGTGTTACCATTTTCTATTAAAGTTAATAATTTTGTAACTTTTTTCTTAGTCAAAATACTAATTTTTTGGAATGTTGATCTCCATGTGTCTCTTCCAAGCAAGTATCATATTGTCAAGTCAATATTACTGACAAAATCACCGACTGAAAATTTTTATTTGATCAATTATTAGTAATTTAATAGATTTGATTAATAAAAAAGAATGGAGGAAACTAGAAAAGTCTTGGCTAAAAAAAAAACACTAATTGATCAATTCGGACGGTAAAGGCAAGTTAAGTGTTCAATTTGAAATATATCGAAGTTGAGTGATTGTGTACAATCAAAAAGAAAATTTGGGTGATTGTGGTTTAATATCATCAAAATTTAGATGGCTAAAAGTTTAGGCTACCCGGCAATTCTCTAGACTCGGAGAGAGAGGGAGAGGGAGGGAGGAAAGGAAAGCTTGGCAGCTCCACAGGAAATTGTTCTGCTTGATCAATCTGCGTCTCGCCATCCTCTCGATTTTCAAAGGCGGTGAGGAAGGTGAAGGAGAAGATAAATGATAAAGCAGGAGACTTGACGAGAGAGAATTTACAGGAAAAAAGGAAACCCTAGCTGAGTTCTAGGGTTCTGAGGGTAATCCAGCACTTACCGGAATCCGATACCCATGGGGGGCGAGGATGCCAATGGGAAGAAGAGCGATTCACGGCAACCGCCAGGTAGCAGCTATCCGGAGAAAAAGGATGGCATGAAGCTTTGGGGAATTTTAATCTTCGGTGTAATTGGTGCCACAGCCACCACTTTCGCTGTGAGTTCCTCTTTCTCTTTTTCATTCTTCAGCCATTATAATCTTCCGTTTTTAATTAAATGTGGGTATTTTTTGTGCTCTGTTATCGCTGTGAATTGGATTTTGAAAGTAAAAGCATGCAACTTTACGGGTGCCAGAATGCACCCAACTTCTATGGTATGGTAGATTTTGAGTGAAAAGAATGATATATTGCTGGGAGAATTTTAGTTTACTGTGCTCTGAAATTTCATGGTTGTGGCAATCTGGCAGGTTAGTCAGCTGCGGAGAACTGTTGATTGGTTTTACGTGCAGGTATCCAGTTGCTTTAATCCTTTGGTGTTTTCGTGCTATAGTGATTCGAGATTTAACTTCAAAACAGCTTGGAATGGCTATTGACTATGCTTGATTCACTTTGATCGATTCAGTGGGGGCAAGAACAGCCCACAATTTAAATTCATGAATTTTCTTATTTTGTGAATTATCAAGACCAGGTTGATGCAACAATAAGATAGTATTTGAGTGCTACAAATCTATTTCCATCTTGTTGTCCATCTCTTGATGAATAAACTCTATTTGTGGAATAGAATCATAAGCATTTTATGCGTTTTCTTTCTGAATGTTGTTTTTTTGGAAATACCCTGTTTTACTGAGCTGATCATGTCTTGTGAATTTCACCTTGCTAGTTAACGAGATCGCAATCATCTTTTAAAGGAGGTAAGGCTGGCTCCTTCCGATCTGCTTTTCAAGAGGAAGCATATAGGAGGTATAATCGTCGAATGCAAGAAGAGTACGAAGAAGAGATGGAGAGAGTTGTGAGTTTCATTAACATATCCAATGATCTTTATATATATATATTTTTATGTTAGAAACATAACAATACTACAATGCCAACATCCATGTCTGGTGATGTTGAACCATAGATTACTGCATATGAGTTTGTTTTAGTAAAGGGAGTTTGGATATGCACCTCATATCATGACATTCAATACTCTTCAGTGGCGTTGATTTTATCGAAGCGATTGATATTCCATGTTTATTGAGGGATCTTGATCTTTGTTCATTGTGGAAGTTTGGCTGCTTCGTATCCTACCTTATATGGCCACCAGATTTACCAACAACTTTGAACATCATATGAGCTGCATTTTTAGTTGACAATGTGCACTAGTTCGGTATATGATTGAATTCTTTCTTGTTTCTCACTATCCCTTAAGTTCTAGAAGCCCTCATGGAACTCAATAGTTCACTATCATTTGTTCCATTACGATGTTTCACTTGTATGCATCATATTACTGTTATTTGTTCTCCTCTCTTGATTCTGATTGAAATGACTAGCTCTTGTTTTCATCTGGCAGCTATTTGCTTATGTTACTTATCTTTGCTAGTAATCGTTTATGTAATATTCATTTTCAGGAGCGTATTAGGCGTATGCAAAGTGTGTTTAATCGTGAGAGAAATAAACATAGAAGAGGGTACGAGAGCTGGAAGGAAACTGAAGGAGGATATCATCAGCATTTCCAACGTGACGATTGGTACTGGAAGACTGACACATCTTTCCGGGATCATAGCAACAACAACTTTAGGAGACCCCCGAGAGACAACATGCCTCCTATGATGTCACACCATTACTCAGTTCTGGGACTTGACAGGTATGTTTCTGCTTTTCTGAGGGAATTATTGAGGGACCCTGTCGTCTGTTTTTTCCATCTAGTCGGGCCTCCTGTATATCTCTTGCTGTTTCAAATGCGATGCATCCAACGTCCAAGCTAATGTATCTTTATATTCGCTACCATCGCAAATGAGATTTGTTCAAATTTATCAAACTGATTGTCTTTTTTGTTTAACAACAGGTCAAGAACAACTGCGTATACAGATGCCGAGATTAAGGTAACCACTCTACCCTCTTACAGCTAGTGTTAGCTTCTGCTTATTCTCGGCCTTCTAGGCCAAACTCTGCACATTCGATACTTTGGCAAGTAGAGGTCATCATGACCTTGTGCAATTAAATATGTCTAGTGCCCATCACTTTAAGAAACCTACGTGTCTTGTCATGCACAAGAGATGGCTTGTGGTAACTCGGATTTTATGTGGTCCAATCACTGATATTGAGAAAATAGTGGTCCTTGTGCTTGTTTATGCGAAGGGCAAAGTAAATTCTTACTGTGTATGATTTGGCGCCTCATATGTTGGCTTCTCTGATATCATCTAGCAATGATATTCCCTGAAGCTTTTTCTATCATTGTGGTGGATACGTGCTGAACACAACATTATACCATTTGCATCTGCAAGCGTGTTGCTCTTTCTATTTGCGAATTGCATGATTGTATTGAAGATTCTTTTTCTTTTTTGGTGTGCTTGCAGACGGCATTCAGGAAAAAGGCCAAGGAGTTCCATCCAGATCAGAATCAAACTAACAAAGGTCAATTTTTTCCTCTGGTTCTACTCGGTCTTCTGCCATATCTGTGGATCAGAGCTTTTGAATTGGTTGCCAACTTAACTGTCCATTATTGCAGAAGCTGCTGAAGTAAAATTCAAACAGGTAATGACGTCGTATGAGGCCATTAAGCAAGAAAGGAAGAGCATGAAATGAGACTAAGAACGGCAGAGTTCAACCGTCCCTGTCAGGATTGAAGTTGCCATCTGCAGTCCACTCGATGTTTGTGGCGGCTATCTGCTAAGTGCTAACCTTCTGTGGAGATTTCCTTTCAATACCGCATGTGTAGCAGTGGTTTGGCGGGGAAGTGCTTCGAGAAACCCTTCACCCCCGTTGCTCGGGTTACATACAGGAAACGGTTGAGAAATATACATACAACTTCACGAGCATAGCCACTTGTAAAATAAATTTTGATTTGAATTGCATTGCTTGTAATAAGTTTATCCACTAATTGTATAATATAGTATAGTAGCCTAGCCTGCCTTATTATAGTAGATGGTAATATGAAGAGCTGTTCCACTTCCATGGGTGGTGGATCGGGGTGATCTGGAGAAGTCTGATGGATGTGGTTGGTTGCATATATTATGTATTCCAAAATCTTTTCCCTGACGAGTTCCAGTTGAGTGAAATCCTGACTGTAGACCTGGTCGTGGCCATAGCTGTAGAGTTTCATTCCAACTTTTGCAACGAAGATCCTTTTGATTATATTATTAAGATGGCCGTTTTCGATGGTAAAACTTAGTTACAAGTTCCAATTAGATTGATCCTCAGAAACAATTAGTATTCATATGGTGGTTGGGAGTTGTATGTATGTAGTGTAGCGCCTTGTTGTTATCTCTCTTTTGTTTGTTTGTCTGTTTGTTACTTACAGTTCCTTCATTAATGTAATAAGAGCATCCGTCGACAAAAGAACCACTCTAAGATGATCATCTCATGGCTGGTATGGTGTCCGATTAATTATAATATAAATCCAAGCAAACAATAATTATTTGCTTGATATTGCTGGCAAAGGTCGAGGATCCAAAACAAGCAGGCGGTAGACGGAAGTGATTTGGCTTAAGAGTAATAATTCTTCGAGTTCGTACATTTTATGAGCTAAAATCCAAGCAAACTGCCTGCTGGGGTTTTTTTATTGATTTGGATTTCCCCCCCTTCTTCCTCGTCATCACTTGAGAGCAATTTTAAGGAAATAATTTGTTTTGCATAAAAAAGGCAATGATTTTAAACCTTTACTGTTTGATCCAAATTTACAGTTCTTCATTTTTGGTGCAGCATCCATAACTAACCATCTAAAGTAAGTAGATAGGCTGCCTGAAACAGACTACAGACCTAATATTATACCAAGGGCTTGTTTGCTGGTTGAATTTGAAATAGAAGTTTTGCTCAAATTCCTGATATTTGGTAAATGAGGGATTGGTGATGAATTTTGATACTTGTGGACTCAGAGAAAAAACTTGTTTGTTTGTTGGATTTAAGGATAAAATATGTTGAATTAAATGTATGGGTTCAAAATTGAATTTCCCGTATGATTAAGTATTTATAGGATTAGTGAATCACTTTTCATCTGTGTATTTGAAGATTTGCAACATATTCTGCCCCAGCACATATTGTTTCCAAAATCGTGGATCCATAATTTTAAACAACACATTCTAAATTCATGAGCTTCACGAGTTTGACATCTCTCTTTTTTTCCTAAACAAACAAGAAATCATGAAATGATGTGTGAGATTTGAGTTTCAAATCCATGCCCAAAAAATCCACCCCTAATCTTTTATGTGATAATTAAGAACACTTATTTAGGGTCCGTTGGAAGATGAGGCTTGGATAAATGATAAATTTGATAATAGGGGAGATTTTAGGGTTGCAAAAATTGGAATTAGTATTGTTTTCTTCCTTCTCTTGTGATATTGTATTGTTCTAAAACATTTTGTATTTCTCGTCCATCATTTCTAACATCTCTTTATCCTAACTTTTATTTTTCTTCTTCTTTTCTAAAAAATTATTATAAACTGTTTGAGCCAAGATATCCCGGTCTCACCAGTCGGGATCTGGCAGACCCGATCCGCAACACAGGCGCAAATATCCTGCAAAGACAAGCGCCTAGTGGGCTTCGGGATGCCGGTTAGCACTCCAACGCTCAAGTCAGTGCCAAATCTAGAGAGATAAGTGTTATCCCAAGTTTTAGTGAGAGAAGCCAACCTGCGTAAATGCCACCTACCGAGCACTATTTATACTCGTCGAAGCCCCGACCAACCTCCTGGAATTCAGCCCCACTTCATCACGTCATTTAATGCTTGGTACAGTCCAACGGTCGGGCGCCTGTACGTGGAAGCTCCTGGACGTCCCTAGGGAGGCGCCTAGCAGGGACCACGCCTTCCAGGTGGCCGCTCCTCGGCTTTCCTACTCCGCTCACATTTGTCATCATCCCCTTTTGTCGTCATGCGCCTGCCCTACCAAGTGTGACCCTAATTCTCTTGTTTGTGCTAGCCTCCTCTTTTCTTCCCATGGGCTTGGGCCTAGGGATGACAATGGGTCGGGTTGGGTCGGGTTTTGCCAAACCCAAACCCATGGGTTTATCTTTGAAAAAAACCCGGGGTAAAACCCACTGGGTTTGAAAAACTCAAACCCAACCCAACCCGTTGGGTATCCGCGGGTTCATGGGTACCCACGGGTTTTGTCATAAAAAATTTACAATTACAAGTTCTTATCAAAATTAAAGTCAAATATCAATCTCTCAATACAAATTATGCATATATAAAACACCATTCTAGAAAATTCAAGCAAATCACAAATTGACTATACAAATTGTTCAACACCAATCTAGAAAACTCAAGAAAATTGAAGCAAATCACAAATTATCCATAAATAACATGTTTAATTGAAAGCTTCTTTCTTTCAATTAAGTTTCTTTACTCTCCACTCCATAACATCAACTTCATTCTACACAATTAAAAAGAAAAAAATTAGACATGTCTCCACAAACATAAATAAGAATAGTTGTTTAAAATATTAAATATACTGAAAAAATTAATTATATGGGTGGGCGGGTACCCACGGGCCGGGTTTACCTAAACCCAAACCCAACCTAACCCGATGAATAGTCAACGGGTTTAAACCCAAACCTGGCCCAAAACCCGTCAACACGGATTTTACCCGCGTTGACCGGGTTGGGTCGGGAGGGTACCCGTGGGTTCGGATTTTGTTGCCATCCCTACTTGGGCCTAACCAGCCTCATGTCCCTCCGGGCTTGGTCTATGTTAGTCCAACATAAACAAAGACAAGAATTCACATCATAAAATAATTTTCTTTCTCAAATATTGCCCACAAAATCTTCTTCTCCATGAAACAACAGTTTATTATGCTTACAAAAATATAGTTAATATATTTCTAAAGAGTATTTTTGGTTTTCCATAAAAAGGATAAGTACACAATGGTCAATTATCTCCCGACAAGTTAGATATTTGTCAAATTAACAGGGTGCCAAGTGGAATTGTAATTATTGCAATTGAAGGAATCACAATTTTCTAAGGGATCGTTTGGATGAGGGATTTCAGAATTCTACATGTCGCAGATTTGAAAATAGCTTCTCACCCCATGTATTTCAAGTTCCGGCACGTGCTATTTTTATTTTTCTAAGCATATCCTTATTAATTTTTAAAATATTTCATATATACATTCAAGTGAGTTTTGACAAACTCATGGGGATTCTTCCCTCATTCTCGTTCGCGTCTCTCTCTCCCGAAGAAGACAAACACATCTGTGATAGGAAGTGGGAGTAGACAGAAGGCAATTGAGGGCGTCGATAATCAAAGGGTGAGCTTCGGGGAGTGTGTGGGTCTGCATCTTCCATTGATTCCAGGTACATTAACTCTTATTAACCATCGCTACAATGTCTTTTCCCTCAATTTCTAGGGGTTTCATTGAATCTGGGTTGTTCTTCTTTATGATTGTTGGTTTGAGGGTGAAATTAGGTCGATGGTTCAATTGATGAAAGTAACAGCTGTCGAGAAGAGAAGCGGAAGCACTAATGGGGACTATGAACGACGATTGGCAGAAACGATAAAAGGGCCAACGATTGAGCAAGGTGATAACAAGGCCGACGATAGACGATCGACAAAGTGAGTAATGATGACTATTGAAGAAAGCTGGTATGAAACTAACCACATGGCCTATGTAATTAATCTACTGAAAATCCTCACAATAGCCTCTATATTTGTCATAATGATCTCATCGTCAACAGTCGGTGACCAAGACATTCTTTCCGACTTCATCGTCCCATCCAATGTGACAAACCTAGATGCCTCCTTCTTCACCTTCATCGTGTTCCACCCTCTTGTTCAAGGCTCCAACCTCACAACATTTAGCTCAATCAATGCCACTGAGGTAGGGTTCCCTGCAATCAATGGCTTGTGAGGAAGAGATAAAGGGGTATATTAATATATTCTTGTAAAGGGTCTGAGTTCCATCCAAAGGAGCACAACTTGTAGTTAGATTGGAATAAGATAAAACCTAGACACTAGGTCTCAAAGGGTAGCCACCTTTGAGCTGAGACGTAAAGCAATAAGCCAAACTCGGTGAACAAAACATCCTTTGTACATGTCTCTCTCTCTCTCTACTCGTCCCTATTTTGTGTGTAATTCTCAACATGAGCAATCTCTTGAAGGTTGAAGATGACTCGATAAGACCCAAAGTCTATGATAAGATCCCGAGCTCGTGAAAGCTTATATTATTTTTTCAAAGTCGCGCAACTTTGATCTTTTTAGGGTTTTCTGATATTTTCTCTCAACAACTCGATAAGAAAAGGATAGGGCGGAATTTCCGTGCAACTTCAACACAAAATCAGGAAGAGGCTCGAACAATATAATGGGTAGCAACTCGACCATAATCAAGGTGAATACCTGATGGATACAGAGCTCGCTCGAATGCTGGAGATCCGCCAACAATAAGGACAAAATTCACGGGTAATATGCTCAATAAACAAAAGGTTTTCAAATAATCAAAGTCTCAATGAATCTTCTCAAATTCGTGGCTTACAAGTTTCAACTCTTTAAATAGGTATGAAAGAATAAACCTAATGAAAATACAAAAAATGAAAAGATCTGGTAGTGTAGCAGGCACAACATTAACCAAGATCCAACCGGAGTTCTATTAGTCGAATCACGCACAAATTTGGAAAAGAGGTTGCTTGTGGGCTAAGAAATCAAGCCCAAGTGGAAAAGGAGCGTCAGCCTCAACCGTCACGCCCCGCCGCTCATGCCATAACTTTTCAGAAGCTTCTAGAACCAGCCTACTTCGCCCCCAAGTCCATGGAATCCGAATTCAAGTCGTATAAGGAAGATTTGGCTGACTTTTAAAGAAAAGAACTAGAAACCCTCTTTTGTAACCAGTATAAATAGGAGGCTAGACTAGAGCTTTTGACACACATTTTACTAGCACTCTGTCCTAGGGGCACAAGTAGCAATCAATAGCGACAGAAGGCAAAGTCCTGCTGGAGCTAGACTAGGATGATTCACCATCGATGCATGTATCAATGGTGATAATGTTCTACTCTCATTTGTGTTTCTAGTCGATCTATTTACGGATAAGAGTTATTTAGATGTTTTATGCATATAGTTCTATGATTTAATGAGATGCCTATCGTGTTTATTATCTTTATCATCAATGTTTGATGTAAATCAATACTTGTATCATCTATTTCTTGAGTTATTTGATGTTATGGCTATTAGATGTTTTAGTTAATCAATGATTATGATTCTATTATGAGTTGATATATGCACGTTTGTACTACTACTATGGGAGAGGAGACAATGAGTACTAATTCGTGTAGTAGTCATCTTCTTAGACGTGTATGGGGGGGGGGGTAGCTACACTTTTATACATGAATGATGATGGTGCTTGATAATTTATATCCTCGATGCTTAGATTATTGATTATGGCTCAAGAGGCCCTCACTTAATCATGTGTTATCCTAACTTCCCTGTTCTTTATTGATTATGTGATGGCATGAAGCAAAAGCATGCATTAGATCATCTCCAACAACCAAATGCCAAAATGCTAGAATGCCATTAGTCAAGGCCCTATCACTACGTGGAATTCCCCATCCTTTAGCATTATAAAGGACTCCAACTCACCTCCAAAACTCAGGCCCATCTTGATAATGGCCGATAGAACCATCCTCCGAAATTTCAATCCAAGACTTGCATAAAACCTCATCTTCGGATTCCTTCCAATTTGGTGGGCGATTAGGTTGAGACGCGATCAGAAATTTGAGAGTAAGAGAAGTTTTAATTTATTGAGAAGAAGATATAATTGATCTTTGATGAGAATGAGAGAATAAATGAGAAGAGATGAGGTTGAAGTGAAGAAACATGAGGTACTTATAGAGAAATCTGTCAAAAAGAGCTATTGGGGGCTAATAGAGCCGTTGATAATTAATTGGGGGACTGAAAAGGATTTTTTTGCTTTTCCATCTGTTATAACAGTAGAAAACAGACGCACGCATGGGGGGAAGGTGCGGCGAAACGGGCGCAACCGATTGGCTCCATTGTCTGGAAAAAAGAAGGTGCCGGCTCCCAACACATTTTGGCTTTCCTTGTCTTTTTCCAATGGGTTTCTAGCCAATTTTTTTATAGCTCTTTTAGCTATTTGGCTTTTCCCATTGGTTGTTGGAGGAAGTGTTTTAGCTTTTTTGACTTTTTGGGTGGATTGTTGGAGATGGTCTTAGCTAGTTAAATCTCTATTGCAAGAGGCGCATGTACGAGTAGAGAATGGCCTTAGTGAAAGGGTAGGTCATCTTAATAGAAGAAGCATTCAAGTATCTTGTTAATGATAATGAATGCATGAACATCTAGAATCACTACCTAAGCATTAGTTTCATTGCTTGTTTTCTTGTTTGCATTACATTGTTTTTTTTTCTTGCTTTAGTAGAGTAGCAACACGAATAAGGGCACCTCAACCCTAATCATTTACTTTTACTTGCATTACAAATTCGAGCATAATAGGGTAGGTTTGAGTAGTTGCTATCAAAAGATCAACCTCGTGAAATATGATCCTAGGACATCCTAGGATTTTATCCCTTGTTTTTGTAATAAGCAACCATATTCAAATAGAGATTGACATGTTGGTTTCTTCCCTCTGCGTTTGGGTTCCAGAATTGCAATGGTTGTTGAACTATAAGAAGAACAAATTTGCCATATGAGAGGTGGTGCTACTTCATTGCTCGGTCTTTCTGGCCTCCGCTTCAAACGAATCGCCTCCAACCTCAACAAACCATACAGTGGCGAGGGAAACGACACCGGAGGGTAGGGCAACAACAGGGTTGTACTGGGTTTATTCGCGGTGTTCAGATCATAAGGTGGAATGGAGTGATGAAAAGTGGATATGGAAGTTGATTGACGATCTTATGGGGAGGATTGACAGCAATGAAGACGACGAGAGGATAAATAGGAACTTAATAATGATATATATTAGTTTTTGGTTATCACTTACAAATACCACATCCACATCCAAACAAGAGATTTTCTTAAAATCTCATATCTTAATTTCTTGGATTTTTAATTGAGAGATCTGGACACAAACCAGGGTGATCATTAGACCAACAACCAATCTAAGAATGAATGTATAATAATGTATGTCCATAAGAAATCATGTTGTATAGAATAGGAAATTTAATAACGAGGAATTTGAGCCGAAATTGCTCATTTAAAATCTTAGATGTTTTTGGGCGTGGGATTTGACAAAAGTAGTTGTCTAATAGTGGGTTCAAGTTATCAATAAAAAAAATTATACTGGGCCAAAGTCCACATTTGCCACTTGTTCTTCATCTTCAACTTTGGCCACAACCAACCACCAGAAGACCATCTTCTCAATCTCCAGATCCGACGTCGATGAAGGAGGGAAAATCATTAAGGAGGTCCGCGACGAAGGAATTTCAAAATAACTGAATTGAAATTTATAAAATTAAACAAGACAAAATTGAAAAAAGTAAGCTAGTGAAGGATTTCAAAATAACTGAATGTAGGTATTCAAAAACTCACTTACACGTGTTTAACTTCTTTAATCTAAAAATCGCTTATTTTACCAAACATGTTGTTCAACCAAAATTTGACAAGAATAGAGATTTGAACAAAATCTTGCACCAAAATCATCCATCCAAACAATACCTATAACAAAAATGGCAACATTGTGGAAGCTGGAAGTAGTGATGACAATTTAAATCCGTCCCGTGGGGCGTGTGTATTACTTGACCTGAACCGTGATGGGGCGGTTATTATCCGGCCCGTAGTAGCATGGGTATCTACTTCTGACCCACACTGCCCCGTCCCACCCTGTTCTTGGTCTAATCTATCTCAATTTCTTACAGTATCTATACATATTTCTCCTACTTTGACTTTTCTTCAACTAGTTAGAGTCGATATTTCAACTTGTTAGACTCATTAACTCATTCCATTATCACTATTTTTCATTCATTAAGTATTTTTCCATTCGTTTTATCATAAAAAGTAAAATTTGAATGTATTTTTTTTTAAATAACATATAAGAGTGGATCGACCTGTCCTATCCCGTACCCATGTTAGTTTTACCCTACCCGACTTGCCGTAACGTAAAGCGAGACATGAATATTGATGTACCCGCCCGCCCCTCCGCCCCATTGCCATCACTAGCTGGAAGGAGCATCCATGAGCTATATAACTGGCGGGTGTAGCGTATTAAACAATGTTCCCCACAAGTGTCCTACCCCTATTTTCTTTGTAATAAAATTTGCTTGCTAATAAGTGCTTGTGACAAGTGACAACAAAGCGGTGGTTGTTGTTGCTAATTGTTATGCACTTACCAACTTATTGTTTTTTATTCTCCTAAACAGAACTTACTCCTTAATAATCATAAAAGAATTATTGATTTGTGACACGTTTATGTGGAGGTAGAATTCCTCGAAAAAAAAAGTCGTGTCTAAAGCAAATGAATTTCGATCTATTAGGTAACTCCAATGTCTAAACTTAGCTACAACAACCACGTTTTTGGTTTAATTTCTCTGCAACTACATACAGCAACATTACTGATGGTAGGGTAGCTAAAATTTTAATTCAACCAGTCATAAATACATACCATGTCATTCAACCGACAAAGAATGTTCGCTGGAGAATTATGAGTAATCACTTTCGACCTTAGCAATGAAAATTGTGATTTTACGAAATCGAAATAGGAGTAAAATCAGAATCGTAAAATCGTAGGATTTTAAGGTCCATATAAATATGAAGACAAAATAATATTAATGAGAAAGATCATGAATAACACATAAACACAAAACAATTACAATGATAATTTGTTACAATTTTTCAAGGTTAATGTTGGAAAGTGATGAATCGATGATCATTAATACGTTTATGTGAATTGATGATGGTCACTGGTGGTTAGTGTGTGAGAACCGAGAACTAGATGATGTTGGTGGAAAAGAAAGAAAAGATGCATATTTTTGCAAATCCTGAGAAAGAAAAATAAAATTAATCGTTAAGATTTTAAGAATTTAAATCGTGAACATTGTAGGATTTTAATTTACATAGTGAAATTATAATGAAAAAGATAAGTAAAATCATAAAATCGAGATTTTCATTATAATATGTCTTCATTCCCTAATCGGAAACTTAATCTTTCATGCATCTCTAAACCTGTGTCATAAAC